TCCCTAATATCACCAAAGCCCAACAAGCCCATGACCTACATCACCTCAATGCTACCACTCTCAGGCTCATGTTCAATGTCACCAGAGAACAAGCCCAGCAGATAGTTAAAAACTGTGGTTCTTGCCTCACTTTCCTCCCTGTACCTCACTTAGGTGTAAACCCTAGGGGACTCACTCCTAACATGCTCTGGCAAATGGATGTCACTCACTGTGCTGATTTTGGTAAACTCAAATATGTTCATGTCTGTATTGACACCTTCAGTGGTCTTATTTATGACACCTTACAATCAGGAGAGGCCACTAAGCATGCTATTGCTTACCTTCTACAGTGTTTTTCAGTGCTGGGGACACCCACCCATTTGAAAACGGATAATGGACCTGGTTACACCTCTGCAGCTTTTCGTAACTTCTGCTCCTCCCTACATATTCACCACAACACAGGCATCCCGTACAACCCTCAGGGTCAGGGAATAGTCGAAAGGGCTCATTTATCCTTAAAAAACACCTTGCAAAAGATTAAAAAAAGGGGAGTGGTATCCCACTCAAGGCACTCCAAGGAACCTACTCCATCATGCACTCTTTGTGTTAAATTTTCTGACACTTGATTCCAAAGGTAAATCTGCTGCAGACCATTTCTGGCACCCAGAAACAAAAGATCATTATGCCATGGTAAAATGGAAAGACCCCATAGACAATTCATGGCATGGCCCTGATCCTGTCCTGATTTGGGGCAGAGGGTCAGTCTGCATATACTCCCAACAACATGATGTGGCAAGATGGCTCCCAGAAAGATTAGTAAAACAAGTTAATGAATTAACCTCCAAGGAGAAGGAGATTCCTTGAGAAAATTTTTCCTTTTCCCCACAGGAAAGGCAGCTAATGGAACGTCTTGGCTGGAAGATTCTGGCAGCAACCACCCTTTTTGCAATCTTGCTTATCTCCATTACTATTCTCACCCTGATCCTGATAGACCTCATGGAGGAACTCTGGTCAAACAGAAATGTGGATACCACCTTTAATTACACTAATGGTCTTCATACCGGTGAGTAGACAGGGATTGGAAAACCCCGATGCTGCATGAAAACGCCTAGAGGCAAGGTATGGAAAATCCTGTGACTGCTGGGGAGGAACCTATGATACCTATGGCTCCTCCCTCACTATGGAGAGGGTAGATTGTGGAAGCACAGTGGCTAATAGAGTGATGGTGCATTCGCAGACATCTACCTCCCAAAAGTGGGTCTGCATTCGCAAACCTCAAATCATTCCCGTGATCAACAATAGACTAGGTCCCTGCCCCTGCTCCTCTTTTACAGATACTATGCATTCTGTTTGTTATCAGGCAGCCCAACAGTGCACGCACAACAATAAAACTTACTGGACAGGGATAAGAGTAAACAGAAGCCCAGCCCCCACAGAGGGTGGTAATCTAGCCTCTTCTCTTTGCTCACCTGGAGCAAAGATATGTTGGAACTTGGAGGCCCCACTGGGATATACGGATGGTGGTGGCATCCAGGACAGGGTCTGGGAGATAAAAGTCCAACAAGAAATTCAACAACGGCTAAAGACCCTGTACCTTGAGCTCAATTACCATCCTTTAGTCATCCCCGAGAACAGAGGAGATCTAAACCTCGATCCCCACACTCAGGACTTGCTTGAACTGACTCATGCACTCATAAACAGCACCAATCCTAACTTAGCCCGTGATTGCTGGCTCTGCCCTAAGGTCGGAGCTCCCCGACCCCTTGCAGTTATTGTCAACACCTCCGACCCAGTCAACCTCACGGCGACTCTTAATTGTACTGTGACCTCTCCCATCCCGGTTCAGCTGATGCCTATGACAAAGGGTCCCTGTGTCCGGGCTCCACCCTATCCCAATGCTTCCCGGACTGATATAGGGAGTGTCTCTCCCGAGTTCTGTAGCTTAAATATCTCCTTGGAAACTCCCATGGACTCCTGCCCCCCTGAAGGCATGGCCATGGCATGTGGAGGTGGGCTGGCCTACAGCTTTCTGCCAGCTAACTGGACGGGCCTTTGTGTCTTCGTCATTCTGCTCCCTGACATCGACATAATATCTGGCAATCAGTCCCCTCCTGTCCCCTCCTTTGACTACATCGGAGGCAAGAGCAAGAGAGCTATTCAAATGATCCCCCTATTAGCCACCTTAGGAAAAACCGCAGGGTTGGCTACAGGGACCACAGGACTGGGGATAGCCACTCATGGATTTAGAATGCTTTCTTTGCAGCTAATCAATGATGTACAGATTCTGTCAGACACCCTGCTAGACATCCAGAAACAGCTTGATTCCTTAGCGGAGGTTGTCTTACAGAATAGAAGAGGGTTAGATTTACTAACTGCTGAAAAAGGGGGGATATGTTTGTTCTTACAGGAAAGATGCTGCTTTTACACCAACAAATGTGGCATTGTTCAAGATAAGATCAGAAACCTTCAGGAACAACTAAACAAGCGGCGTGAAGAATTACGGAGCAATCTCCTCTGGACTGGACTCAATGGCCTTCTTCCCTACCTTCTGCCCCTTACTTGGGCCCCTTCTTGCCACTTTACTTGTAATATCTTTTGGCCCTTGGGCCTTTAGAAGGATTATAGCCTTCATTAAGGGTCAGACTGATGACCTTGCAGCCAAACCTATTCAGGTGCATTATCACCGGTTGGAGCTTGAGGACCGAGAGGCCCCCTACGGGCAAGGCGGATTTGATGACAACGTTTCCAGTCATCCCTTCAAGAGCTGAACTGGTCAGCCAGAGATGGGTACGAGGGAGTCTCCCTGGTAGCAACCTAAGACAGGCAGGTCGCCAAAGCCACGGTCCTAGCCCATGACGGGTAAGCACCAGTCAGAGACTTCCCAACCTAAGACAGGTGCAGTTCCCTGAAGGAGTATCTACCTTGACCCTTGTCTTTTAAAATTATAAAAAACTGGGGGACCTGTGGGAAGCACTGGCTTCCACAGACAGGCCTGAGAATTATGACCTGCCCATGAGGCAGAATTGCTGAAATCATCAAACTCTGACCCAGTTAAAGTTTAAACCACATGGCTCTGCAAAAACATGTTTTTCTGCCCTAACCTTTTGCTGCTGTTGGGAAACTTCCTTATTCTATAGATCAATCAGGTCTTGTGGTTTAACTGCCGGATTTGCTCAACCCAGCAGAATTTGCCACTGTTCTCTTCCTCGTTTCTCTTCCCTTCCCCCCCATAAAAGCTTAAACTACCTGTTCGATAAATGAGACTTGATCAGAACACTGTCTTGTCTCCATTTCTCATGTCTCTTGCCCCATTCAATCCCCACTCCTCATTCCAGGTACCTCGTTGTAGATCCCATAGGTTGGGACAACTTAAGTTGATTTTTATCATGTATTTTGTCACAGCATCAAGAAAAATAAATAGTATCCTTCAGGTCCCATTACCCAATTCCGTTTTCATTGTCTCTTCTTTTCCTGCCAGCATAAATTTACTTTGTATTACTTTTATGTTTTGTTACAAACATAGTATCTTAAAACAACACAAACTTATTAGGTAAAAACTCTGGACAATAAAAACACAAGACGGTTTATGCTGTTTAACCTCAATTGTCCACTTGCTGAAATCTAGAATCACTTATGAGACAGGCCTTCCAGCATGCCTTGTGTATTCACCTTGATTAGGTCAAATTGATCTAGAAAGATCCGTGCCCTGATATGGCATTATTCCATAGGCTTGGATTCTGGATGGAATAAAAACAGAATGTGAGCTGAAAATAAGCATTCATCTTTGCCTCCTTCCCAACTGAGAATGTAAGGTGACAAGCTGTCACAAGTTCCTGCCACCAGGACTCCCCCACCAGGATGAAGTGGACCCTCTGACAATCCCCTTGTCCTTCAGTTCTTTTTACCAGAGTATTTTATCACAGCAACAGGAAAAGTAACTAATACATCACTGTTCTAGGTTAAAATAGTTTCCAAGCTTGTTCCTTTATAGAGGATCTGGAGAAAAATGTGTTTGTTGTTTTTTCCAATTTCTGGAAGACCCCTTTCTTCCTTGGCTCAAAACCATTAATGGAAGACTCAATAATGGTGCTACTATTTTTCTGACTATTTATTCTTTCCATTTTAAAGAGTCATTTTTGTTGACATTAGGACAATGTTTATAGTTCAGGAAAATTTCTCTGTTCTGAGGTCAGCAGGTTACAAGTTTTCTTTTCATCTGCAACCTTAATTGTTCTTTGGAAGGCTATCATAGTCACAGATTCTGATGATTAAGGTATCCATATATTTGGTGGAGGGTCATTTTTCTATCTACTAAGTACTTGATTGGGCCAAGTACTTTGAGGAACTGAGAAGAAGTCAGAAAGAGAAACTCAGAAGGATGACTATCACCTGTTTAGTCATGAAATTAAACCTAGGTACAGAATGGATGTTTATGAAATATAAGGTCATGTATATTCACTACTGATGTGAATAAAAGTGGAGGAAAAGGAATTGTCTAGTATGTTCTAAAAATTGCAGACTCTTCAGTACTGATGGAGCAGGAGATGGAAGGGTTTAGTAAAGTGAAGCTAATGAACTTAATTTTTCATGAAATTGGAATGGTAAGCAAGTGTCTTGGAGGTCATGTACTAATCAGAAACGTGACCCTGGGAATCTGGTTAAGAGTTGTAAGGGGCGGAACATATAGGGAAAAGGATGTAAGTATCATCAAAATATTTTGTAAGAAATTTGCAAAAATGAAAAAAACACCTTGAGGAAAAAATAAGAAAATGATATCTTTAAAGAAGTAGTATATAAAAACTGAAAATTAAAAACAAAGCAAATTGATAATGTGAAATTTGATAGAATGTGTGAATTTCAGGAGAGCCATAAGCTTCATTAAAGGAAGTCGTAAAGACATAATTTCCTTAAAGTAACCAACTGGTCCTAAATTGGCAGCTTGGCCTGTCCTCAAGCCTTATCAACTGGTTACTCCCCAGACTGAGAGAGACTGTGTACAGAGTCAACCTGTCTCCTTTAGTGCCCCAAGATAACTTGTCTGCTCTTCCTGGGAAAATAATCCCAGGAAGAGGACCCTCAGTTACCCCAAGGACACTAGATCCTGGCACCTGGCAAATTCCTGTAGCTTCATTCAACAGAGTTCCTATGTAAGTCCAAACTGCTCCACCCTTCACTGTAGACACTCTCATTCTTCAGGAGGGTTTATTATAAGCCTTTTGCTGTTTTCTTTGAATATAGGAACACGTTCCGTGTCTGTTGTAGTTCTGGCTCTGACTCTTATTTCTAAACTTTAAACTCCTTCCCTTTTTTCTCTCCTAAATCTAAACAAAATCAAAGTAAAGTTTTAAATAATATCACATTACTCAGTATTTCCTTTTTGTTAGAATGGGAAATAAGACCTCACCCCCTGCATTTTCTTGTGGAATTACTCTGCTGTTTGTAT